GATGGGATGGGATGGATGGGATGGGATGGATGGGATGGAAGGGGATGGATGGGATTGAGCTGTCACATCCCCGTTTATTGGTGTCTCCACCTGAGCTGGTCATTAAGAACAGGTGAGGAAGGTGCCCCTGAGCCCTGAGCCAGGGTTTGAGGTCACAGGTTGATGTCAGAGCTGAACTGCAACAGAGGCTCCATGGTTCCTCTCCAGTGACCCTCACTGGAGCCCAGAGGCTTCCACTCACCCATCACCCCTGCTCTGAAGGCCCCACAGCATCTCCCTGCTCAACTGCTGGTGCTGATGTTTTCTTCAGTTCTCAGGGTGCCCCCGGGGCCTGGCCCAGCCCCTCAATCCCACCAGCCTGGAGGTAGGTGAGGAATGAAGTCCTCAAAGGTGGCTGAGCTCTGGGCCAGCTCAGGGCTGCAGGTGCCAGCAGAGGTGGAACTGCTGCTGAAGCAAAAGAGCTGGAAAACCTCAAACCTTGCTCATACATCAAACCAGGGATGAGAACCCAGGGTGAGAGTGGAGTGTCCACTCCAGCCCATATTCCTTTCCTTTAATGCTGTTTTGGGGCCAGTGTCAGGCTCAGGGGTGTCCTTTGTGCCCCAGGAGTGCCGGTGACACCTCTGTCTGTGTCTGTTTTCCTTCTCACACCCGCTCTCCTCCTCACCCTGGGCTTTTCCCACCTCACCCTGTGCCAGGCGCTCTGCAGAGCCGAGATTTCACAGATTTCACGGATTTGGAGGCATCCAGGTCCTCCTGAAGCAGGAGGAGAGGCCACTGCAGCACGGCTGGGACCTGCTCCTGGTGAGTCCTGGCTGCCAGAGCCGCGCCAGGAGGAGCAGCAGCTTCTCCCTGCCCTGTGCCAGGAGCAGGGCAAGCACAAGGGGCCCCTCTCCACCTCCTTCCTGGCTTTTCCCTGAGGATCCTGGAGGCTCAGGCTGGCCTGGGAATAGTGGGAGCTGCTGGAGCAAGAGCAGAAAGAGAAGCAGGAGCTGGAGCAGGGGGAGCAGAAGAAAGAGCAGGGGCAGGAACAGGAGCAGGAACAGGAGCAGGAACAGGAGCAGGAACAGGAGCAGGAACAGGAGCAGGAGCAGGAGCAGAAACAGGAGTAGGAGTAATAGCAGGAAGAGAAGGAGGAGGAGCAGAAACACGAGCAGGAGCAGGGACAGGAGCAGGGATAGGGGCAGGAGATGGAGCAGGAAGAGGAACAGGAGCAGAATCAGGAGTAGAAGATGGAACAGAAACAGGAGCAGGAGCAGAAAGGAGTAAGAGTAATAGCAGCAGCAGAAGAGGAGGAGGAGCAGAAACACGAGCAGGAGCAGGGACAGGGACGGGAGCAGCAGCGGCAGCAGCAGGAGCGATGCCCGGGCCGGCTGCGATGAGTTCTCCAGGCCTCAGCAGCGCTCCCCGTCCCTCCGGCCGCCCCTCCCGGCCTCCAGCGCCGCCGCTCCCGTCCCAGAGCCGCCCATCCCCGGCTCGGATCCCCCCTTACCTGCCTGGGGGTCCCCGCTCCGCTTCCCCAGCGCGGCGCTCCCCCCTTTGCGCCTGGGAAAGAGCGAGCCGGGGCTTTATGAGCGCGGCTGATGAATATTGCATCTCCCGTGAAGGCGGCGGAGCGGGGGCACCGGGCCCCGGCACCGGGCACGGCCGGGAGCGGAGCGGGGAGCGGGGAAAGGGGGGCCGGGCCCCGCTAATGCTGCTCGGAGCCGATCGGGGCCCCCCCGGCAGCACTCAGCATCCCTCCTCATTAAACTTTCATCGGCAGCGCTCGGCCAAGGTCTATTTATGAAAATGCGCTGCTCGCAGCGCCGAGAAAACAGCGACGGAGCGCAACAACAAAGGGATGGGCTTTGGGAACGGCCGGGAATCAGGAGAGAGGTGCGGGACGGGCTGCGGGATGCCCTGGGTGGGTCCCGAGGCGTCCCGGGGGGCTCTGGTGGCCACCCCCGAGCTGGCCCCGCTCGCCCAGCCGGGGCAGCTCCTCCAGGAGCCGCACAATCGCTTCTTTCCTTCCTTTTTATTTATTTTATTTTATTTTTTTAGTTTGTTTTTCTTACATCTTTGTGGCGTTTTAGGGTTTTGTTTGTTTGTATTGTTTTTTTCTTGTTTGGTTTGTTTTTATGTTTTTTATTCGCTTCTTTGGTTTTATTTTGTTTGACTTCATTTCATTAGTTCACTTTCGTTCATTTTACTTCCTCTCGTTTTATTTCACTTTATCGTATTTTATTTCACTTTATCGGGTTTTATTTCGCTTTATCGGGTTTTATTTCACCTCATTTCATTTCACTTAATTTCCTTTCCTTTCATTTAATTTTATTTCATTTCATTCTACTTTATTTTTTCTTGTTTTACTTCGGTTTTCCCCTGTCAAAGCCGCCGGGTCCCGTCTGTCGGGTTTCACCACCACGACGTGCATTTGAATATTTCCCCCCACCCCCAAAAAAAAAGTTGCAAAACAAAACAACAATTAAAAAAAAAAACAAAAACAAAAACCCACCCACAAACAAAAACCCAAACAAACAAAAAACCCCCAAACAAAAATAAAGCAAAACCACCCCAAACGAATAAAACCAACGAAAATAATTCGGTTTTAACCCTTTTTTTTCCGCGCGTCGCCGGGACGGAGCGGACCCGCAGGTTCTGATCCCCCGGGAACTCCCGGCTCGACTTTTCCAGGCTGGAAAATCTGCTCGGGAGTCCCGGGAAAAGCTCCCCGGAGCCGCAGTAACTGCAGGAGGCAGGAGGGTGAGGTAAAACGTGCATGATTTATTTGAAATGCTGCAGCGTACACGGACACCAAAATTTCATTCAGCACACACACAGCAGAACGAAATCTCCTTTAATTCCGAAAAAAATAAAATAAAATAAAATAAAAAATTAAAAAATAAGATTTAAAAAGAAAGAAAACAAAAGAAAAGGAGGCAAATTTCTCTATTAAATATGCAAAGGAAAAGGGGGGAAAAGAAGAGTTTTCTTGCCTTCCAAAGTGCAGAGTTCCCCATGCGAGGGGCACCGAGGCCGGGCCGGGCTCTGTCCCCGCTGCCGCCGCTCCGCTGAGCCCCAAGGACGTGATTGTCGAAGCGAAGGATTTTATACAGTGAAAACCATACGGAAATCGAACGGTTTGAGTGAAACCAACGCAAAATAAATCTCCATTTCCCCGAACAAACCGCGACTCCAGGGACGGGCCAATTTTTATTATATTTTTTTTTTCTTTTTTGATATTTTTCTCCTTTTTTTTTTAATCCTTTTTTAATTTTTTTTTTTTTTTTTTTAAATTTAGCCGATGAGGTAGAAACAGAAATGGTACTGCAAAAACGCGATGGGTTTGCTGGGGGCGGGCAGGGGAGAGAACAAAACCATGCAGGTGCGTGTGTGTGCGGGGGACCCTGGCGGCGGGGAGCGCCCCGGCTTGACAGCTCGTTTCCTTTCTCATTTCTTTTCCTTTTTTTTGTTTAATTGTTTGTTTTTTAAAAGAAGAGGAGCGGACACGGAGGAGCGAGCGGAGCTCCCCGAGCCGGGAGGTGCAGTGACAAAGACCCACCGGGCTCTGGCTGCTGCTGCTGCCCCGACTCCGGGCACCCCCAAACTTCCCCCTTGGCCTTTTCGTTTGGTCTTTTTGCCTTTTTCTCCATCTTTTTAGATTTTTTTTTTCTTTTTTTTTTCTTTTTTTTCTCCAGTTTTATCTACAAAAACAGTCTGTAGCAGTCAGAACAGCGGGGCCACTTCGCCCAGGGGTGAGGAGCAGGCACCAAACTGTTCACTTTGCTTTGGGCTCGTTTCCCTTTATTTTAAGGTTTACTTTTCCTTTTTTTTGTTGGTTTTTTTTTGTTTGTTTGTTTAGTTTGGTGGGGTGGTTTTTTCTCCAATTTTTTTAACCCCCCCAAAAAAACCCCAAAAAGAAGAAGCCGACAACCCCAAGCCCCATTTGGGAAGGGCCGGGGAGGGACGGTCGGGAGGGCAGAACCCTCCCCAGCCCCTTTTCTCAGTAGGTGGCAGAAAATTTCATCCTTTTCTGCTTCTGTCTCTGATTGCAAAACCAGACCCGCACCACGTTCTTCTTCAAGTCTAACTTCTCGGCGATGGCGGCGATCTTCTCGGACGAGGGCCGGGGCTGGACGGCGAAATAGGCCTCGAGCGAGCGCTTCTCGGGGGCGGCGATGGACGTGCGCTTGCGCTTCTTGTCCCCCCCCGTGTAGATCTCGGGTTTGGTCATTTTCTCCCTCTGCGCCCTCTCGGCCTCCTCCAGCCACGCTTCCAGGATGGGCTTGAGGGCCACCATGTTGTTGTGGGACAGGGTGAGCGACTCGAACCTGCAGATGGTGCTTTGGCTGAGGCAGCCCACGCCGGGGATCTTCAGGTTGGCCAGCGCGGAGCCCACGTCGGCCTGGGTGACCCCCAGCTTAATCCTCCTCTGCTTGAAGCGCTCGGCGAAGGACTCGAGCTCCCGCGGGTCCGTCTCCGTCTCGGGGCCGGAGATGACGGCGTGGGAAGCGAGGCCGTGAGGGTGGGACACGTTCATGGGCTGGGAGTGGTGGGCCATGTGGTTGATGTGGGACATGTGGGAGTGCGGGTGCGAAGGCGTGGAGCCCACGTCGGGGCCCGGCACCCCTCCGAGGGGCAGCGCCGAGTTGAGGTGCTCCAGCAGCTCCCCGTCCAGGCCCTGCGAGGGCTGGTGGTGGTGGTGGTGGTGCGGGTGGTGCGTGGTCAGCACGGACGGGTGGTGCAGGTGGACGGAGGACGAGGTAGGAGTGCAGGACACGCTGCTCATGGTGTGGTAGGTGGCGTCGGGCTTGAAGGGGTGCGTTTTCTGCGACACGATGTCCACGGCGGCCAGAGCCTCGGCCCCGCGCAGCAGCGTCTCGTCAAAGCCCGCAAAGATGTTCCCCTGGATCTGCGCGGGGAGCGGCGGCCAAAAACAAACCGAGAGAGCGGGAGAGGATTAAAGGGAAGCGGCGTGAGCGAGACCCCGCTCTGCCCCGCCGGGACAGGTAACGCCAAGCCAGCGCCACCCGAGCCCCCCCGGAGGACCCCCGAGCTCTGTCCCCCCGAGCCGGGCACCCACTCTCCGAAAGAGGGATAAAACCGGACCCTCCGGAGGAGGAACCGGAGATGTCGGGGGTCCCGCGGCCCCAGCGCTCGCACGGAGGGGGGCGGGACGGCCGGAGCGACCCCCGCGCCCCCAGACCCCCCTCCCCCGGGAACAGCCCCCCGCAGGAGGCAGGAAGGGAAGGACGGACCCCATCCCAAACCCAAAGGGAAAGTTGGCGAGGGTGGGGAAGCCGGCGGAGCCGGGGCTTACCTGGGGGGCGGGCAGGCAGGCTCTGCGGATGGCTTCGGAGCTGGTGTGCAGGTGCGGGTACTTGGGCTCGTGCAGGATGGGGTGCATGCTGAACGCCTGCTTGCTGTTCATGGACATCATGGTGGGAGCGGAGCGGGGCCGGGGCAGGGCAGGGCAGGGTAGGACAGGGCAGGGCGCTCCGGGCACCCGGCTCGGGGGCGCGGTATTGTCTGGCTCCGCCACCCGGCATCAATGGCATTATAGCCCGGCCCCCCCGCCCACCGGGAGGGGCCGGGGAGGGCCCTCCCACCGCCCGCCCCCGGGCACCGAGCTCACCCCCCC